TTGAAAGTGATTAAGATCAAGATACAATCTTTACAAATGGGGTATACCTATTTGCGTTCGTAGAGTGAAAGTGTTAATTTAATGATTTTAAAAATATGAATCATAAAGAAGCCCACGAAAATAGTGTATGCTTCGAACATGTTTATGAATTAAAGGAATATATTTTTTTTAATAAACATCAACTCACACTACCATCCCTAGTGCAAAATAACCCCCTATCACTTTTGTGCATGAGTGTGTATCTGGTCAAAGAAAGTGCGTAGCGCACATGTTAATTGAAGGCATTGCAAACACAGCAATAACCAGAGACAGAGATGGTGTCCAAAAAAGAAGGAGATAGCCATGGAAACGGGAAGGACATGGCCATATAAATATATATATAGAGTGAGATATTCATCCAAAAGGCCATGCAATAATTCGACCACCAACGAAGCCGTTAACAATGCAACAGCAATCTGTTGTTTGAAGAGCCTTGTTCGATGGGCATTTGTGATACCTGATATCCTCCAATAAGGGACATTAATTAGTATTTAATTAACTAGTTCGATCGATGGAACATATTCAATCAAATTTCGGCAATTATGTTAACAATTTTCGGTTGAATTGATGCAGAATTGCATTTGCGATATTAGTCAAAATATTAAGTTGCGTTCATTAAAAATAGAACCAGAAAATGAAGCTGAAAGCCTAATTAACTTTTTTTCATAAGAATCTTTCAAATAGTTACACAAAATCAAATAGAATCCCCATTGAAAGGGGTTTAGTATATTGCGTTGTGTGGAGTTAATTCTCCATAACCATTTGTTAACCTGATTAAATAAGTTTAGTTAACCCTTGGTTCAAGCAACTGACCACAAACACGCGGGTTTGCTTGGAACGAACAACAACCACAACGAAGCCATCTAATTAGGTTATGTTTGATTGTTGTAATATGGCATATCCGCTTCTCTAGCTCCTCCTTTTCCACTTCTACTTCTTCTTCGGGCCACCACTATCTCTAGAGATTCTCCGGTCAATTCCGAGAGCGACCCCAAAGCTCAACCCGTGCGAAATTGGAACCGCCAATGGAATTTAATCAAGTTTTATTTGCACTAGTCGGAGGTCCCTGGGCAGCGCAGATGAGCAATGAGAGCACATCAGCAATAAAATCTGCCATATGTGTGCATGAGTCGTCTGCCACAGTGGAACCTCGAATGAAACTTTTTCGTATTACATAAATTCTTGAATTATTAACACTTAATTATTTAAAACCACTCGTTCAATTACTGCGGTTTTAAATAAACTTATTGCCAACCAATTCTTTTTCATATGCAGAAAATAAAGCTTATGTTAATCCCATTTATTAAAGTTTAACTGTATATGTTCGAGTATCTGTGTGGAAAATGCCCCTGTGTGTGTGTGAGAGTATTGATTGTCATAATTAAACGCTACTGCTGCTGTTGCTGTTGTGCAATTTCCCTGACCATCACGTATCTTTCCCCCACTTTTCCCCATGTTTTCCTTTCTTTGGGTCCCCGCTCCTCGCGCTTCTTCTTCTTTTTCGTCTTCAGTTTGTTTGAGTTTTGTAACTGCGCTTTAAAAGTTTGTTGATTGAATGCAGCACTGCACAATTGTTGCAAAAGGGCAGCCATAAAGTGGCCTTACACAAACACAATCCCACCTATAGTCCACTCCCCCCAACTGCCTGATTTTCTTTTCTTTTCTTTTTTTTTTCCTTTCCACCCACACGAACTGTTTTTATAGCCATTCTTTTGTATACTCTGTGGATTAGTTCCTCATTGTTTAGTTGGCAGCGTGGCGCTTTGCAGATAGCTGACAGCCCAGAGAGAAATGCCAAGAAATGCATTGCAACTTATCAGGGCGCTGAATGCCGAATAGAGGGGCACAAATCGGCAAATGTGTGCAGAATGTGGGGAGAGATAGTCCAAGTGTGGAGCGCGAATGGTGCACATAAAAAAAGATACGCCAATAACATGAGTAAAAGATACAATATCTAATTTTACATACAACATCTTTGTGTGATATAATATGATACCTATACTTTATGATTAATAAAGAAAAGATTTATGATACCATTTCCTTTCTTTCTTTCCTTCTTTTTTTATTTTTTAACCAGAAATTTCTCTCTGTGCATCATTCCCATTGCAGCTGCTAAGTAGTTCTGTGGGCGTGGCAAAATGCATAGCTAACTAGCTGGGTGAAGAGCAGCAGCAGAAGCGAAAGCAGAAGCAGAAGCTCACTTAAGCAGCTCAAGTCGAAATAGATTTCGGGTGCCATGAATAAAATATCCCAGTTAAGAGCTCACAGCTCGGCACGTGTGCCAGAATTTGATAGAGCAGGTTTGCCATGCTGTGCATGTGCAAAGATTTCAGATTTCTGCCAAGGTTACTTTGCCGAAATGCTCGCTTTTGTGATAAACTCAGTGAATGCGCTGCATTAATTATGACGGAATGAGATTTGAGTAAACTATGATAATTTAGCTTGTTACAAAATCAATATGCATTAATAAACAACGGAGGTTAAATTGGCCAAGATACTAAATGGAAATTTATAAATGTGTAATTTAATAAAACTTGAATAAAATAAGTTTGAAAGATCCCACACGAAAACCACAATCACATTACCCCATTTAAATTGGCACCTCCTCAATGTAATTTGCCCCATTGTTATCTAAACCACTTTTGATTCGGAACACAAAGCTTTCCGATCCCTTCGCCATTCACTCGACTTTTTCATTTAGTCCAGCACTCCGGGGGCACATTAAAGCTACGGCCTTCGAAGGCATTTTCTACATTTTCACTTAGTTATTACATTTTATTTGCTTATTTATGGCCGGCTTTCACGCTGCTGTCCGCTCCACTTTGAGTTTCCTTTCCCATTTCCATTTCCATTTCCATTGGCATTGCCCCCAACCCTCCGCCGCCTTCTTTTCCATGTCAATTGTCGGCACATCGGTTGGCTATTGACAAATATTACAAGTCCACCCCCTGGGCAGTTGTATAGCATCATCGCCCCCGCCAAGAGTTGTTATGATTATATTGTGTGCGACATTGTCAGAGGCCGTTTCCATACCCACAACACGTACACTTCTCCATCGCCAGTCGTATAATATGATATTTGCATGAAATTACATGGACAACACTGATGAAGGGATGCGATCAGGGGGCTGGGGGGTTGTCGGAAGGCGTGGCACAAGCCCTTTGGGTTATTAACATGCTCCAGAGATTAGACCGACGCCGGCAATGATGACAACATTTGATTTCTTTTCCGTTTACACAGGACTCGCCTTGCAATTCCCAAAGCTCACTCGAAAAAAAATTAATCCTTAGCAAAAAAAAAAAAATGTACCATAGTTTTGTCTTCAAGATCAATAATATGCAAACAACTTTTATGTGGATTTAAATTATTAAATATTTTAGATTTATTTTTATAAAGAGCATATTTTTATGCATATTTATAATATTTTGTTTCCCTTTTTTCAAAGTGTACCTCCCCTATTTTTTTCGAACCTCCTCTTTTGTGCTAATCAGCGCAAATATCCAAAATACAAAAGCCAAATCGAAAGTAAAAGCTGAAATCAGTGAAAGAATGAAAGAAAGGAAACTCCTCAAAAGAGCTTCCAGCCCAGACAACCTTCTACCTTTCACCTCCTATCCGCCCACTCCGCCCATTTTAATGCCCTCCCCCCCCGAAGCCAAAAAGACGTCAATCAAGAAAGGAAAGAAGGAAAAAAATTTGATATGCCTTCTGGGTTTTGTGTTGATTTTTTCGTGAGGTTTTCGGGGATTATTGATTTGTTCTTTGCTGCCGCTGCCCTGCCTGCCTGTAAACTGATATTTGGCATTTGAAATGCGAGCAATTCCCGTCTTTTCAATTCGGTTGGGGGGAAGTTTTCCTGTGATGTATGATAAACTCCAAACAGTCTGCGGCTGGATTAGCCGCTCAGCGATTTAAGTGATTGTATATCTTACAGATATACGATTTCAGTTGAACAAGTGGCGAGATTTAATAGCTCGGGCCAAAAGCTAGCAGCCAGTGGCACACTCTCAGGTGAACTGGGATACTGGGATTCTGGAATCGTTGGTCTGAAATCAGAAATCCCCCATCTCAATGGCCCAAGTTTGTCCTTACAGTTTAAAGTGATTTGTGGCGCTCGGAGTGGCTAAGGAAAGTTTCCTTTTTGCCTCTCTATCTGTCGGAGTGTGTCTCGCTTTATTTCGCTTGGCTGGAGGTTTTTATGGCCGTTCAGTTGGCAGTTTTAGCCAAGAAAACGGCTCAACTTCTCTCGACTCTGGTAGCAATTGCGGAATTACACTTTGATTAACAAATGCTAATGTTGTTCCTATGTTTCATTGTTTAGATGGGGTTTGATTTGCGGGCCCCACTTGATTTTATTGAATGCAATTGTTTAAAAAGTTTTCTGGATAAACTTGCTGAGCTGCAATCGAAGACGATTTTTCTTTGAATGAATTTAATGTTTTACTTCAGCTAAGTTTCACATTCTATTGATACATACAGTTAAGATTTAAATTCAAAGCTTTTGTAAAAAATAAACGTTAATTTTGTTTGATTTTTACTGAAGCCATAATAAATTCGTTTTAGATTTATTGATATCTTTTGGGCCAAATAAATGTAATTAAGACTGCATTAAATCCTTCGAAAAACTTTTAAATTACTTTTCGCCATTTCCATTATTATCAACTGAAAGAAAAAAGTCAAGTCCAACGATTTCCATTATCAAATACTTATTTACCCTTTTGTGCTGGCTTCCCATATATTTAGCTTAATTTCAATTTGAATACTCCTCCGTTTGGATAACATTCCCAGTGACCTTTTACACAACTTGTGCCCGCCGCTGTCAGTAATTAAAATCTGTCCAAAGCCTTGCAATTAAACCCCAAAAATAAAACCAATTGCTAACCCCTCTCGACACAAAAACAAACAAGAGCAAACAAAAAAAATACATATTACAATGTATATAAACTGGGTATAATACCAACCTTGAGCCTTGAGTGTGGAGGGATCTGGCCTGCTTAGTGGGGACTTTAGAAGGAGCCAGGAGCTTGGCACACAAAGCAATTAGCAGAAAAGGACGCACGAAAGGACGACAGGTTCCAGCAGCAGAAGTGAAACGGACTTGTCTGTAAAAAGAGAGCAAGGTAAAATATTTGCATTAGCTGGGGGGGAATAAATAAATAAAGCATACAGATGTTGCCGAAGCTTTAGCCGTGGGAAAAATATAGATTTAAAAATGTTCATTGGTTTTAATAAGTGATTTTATATTTTCCAAATCTGTTAAATTAGAAACGTGATTGCATACTCAGCATGAATTGTTTAAACATATTATACAAAATTATAAAAACCAACAGTTCTTAATTCAGGTTTTCTTTTCGTGTAAATTGCTTTATTTGCTAAGCAAACTGTAACGATTTTCCCAGAAGTTTGTGCTATTATTTTGAACACCACTGTATACACAAGCCTCGGGACCTTGCTGCGAGACATGGAAATCCTTTTTTAATTTCCTTACGCGCCGCAATTGTAATTTGTATCTGAACTGTTTGGCCGGGCTAAATAAAGTTATAAAAGCATAAAGAGCGAGCCTAAACACGCTATTCGGAGGATATTGTTGAAAATCTGGAGTGCGTTTCTGTTGCACATAAAAATTCATTGATTACATTTGTTTGCCGTTTGCCAGTTGGGCGTTAAATGTCTTGGAGTGGCTGTATTTTTCACATCCAAGGAGCAAGCGAGATTGTGAGTGTGTGTGTGCCTAGGATCGCTTCCTGTTTACACAACCCAAGACCTAGGGTCCTGGCACACGCGAACCCCGGCGCAAACACACCAAATTCATGGCCAGGCCACGAGAAATACTTAACAAATAAAACGGCGGTAATATATCTTTGCAGAGGGTGGGGATGTTGGAAATACCTAGAATTATGTGCGCCTAGAAATATTTAAAACGCTATTTATATGCTAATACCAGCGAACACACAAATTCAGGGAAATGGAAACGCCCCAAACTGCATTACAAATACCAAAGAGCGAAATGCGAGGGCGGTGGTGCAATGGAATTTTTTGTGTTTTTTTTTTTTTTTTTATATTCCAGCCAAACCGAAAACAGTTTTCACTAAATCCTCATTAATTAGTAGCATTTAGGGCGGCATTTTTTTGTGTTCCCGCTTGCCGCTTTCGTTTGTGTGCGACCACGCCCACCGCCTCCGCCTCTGCCTGCGCCATCGCTTAACGACTCAGCGTTTGGGGGGAGAAGCATTAAAGCTACTTAGCATTAGGACTAAAGCCAGGTACAGTGGGCCCCAGGCCAAGGCAACCAACCAGCCGGTAACAGGTGTTGAAAACTGGCCAATGACATTACTCAGCACTTTCGGTCGCTCCAAAAGAGCCCAATGATGCATGAAACGAACAGGTGTCTGCCTCATTCAGTGGGATTACCCAACCATAGACACACACATATCAAGGGGGAGGCAACTAAATTCTTTAAAGAACATAAATCAGTTAAGGCTAATTTTGGCCACAACAATCAGTTCTCCCTGCCATTTAAAAGTTTTTTGAGTGTGTAGAAAATACACAAAGTTCGAAGCCATGAAATTGAAACTAAGTGAGTGAACGAATTTCATACAAACTGAGCCAATTAATTGGCACTTGTGCTACTGAAGTTTAGATAAAGTTGGCGAAAAGGGAATTTAGAGAGCACAATAAGACAATTTATTTCATTTTGCATTTTGATTTATTTTTTATTTATCAACATATCATGTAAGCTTATCAAATTATTCTCGGAATTTTGTATGTACAGAATAGGTTTTCCCCAAAATATTGCCTAACGAATTTTCCAAATTCTATTCCACTGTAACAGCGCTTATTTTAGCAACACCCAAAAATGTAGGCAACACAAAAAATAAACACTCAAAGCCGGTGCAAAAAGAAAGGAAAATATTTCATGTATATCATCAGGGGAAGGCTGCCCTTTATGCGACTGCCGACTACCGGACACTATACAACAAATATACATATAAAAACAACGACAGCGACTAAGACAACACTACAAATACCATTGGACCGACGACCGACGAGGCATTTGCCTGCATTTAATAACGTTTAGTCTGTGTGAAAATAGAAAAAGAATATTTGGGAACAACAAAAAAAAAAGGGGGGAAAAGGAGAAGCGAACGGAGAACCGAGAACAAACAAAAACAAAGCATTTCAAATTGTATGGGAAAATCGGGGAAAAAAGGGAAAATTCCTTCCCCATTTGCCGAGACACGGGACCGTGCAACGCATTAATTTCATTCACACTTCGAAAAAATATCGTACGTACGTATATATTTAAGGCAAATATGCAATAACGGCGTGTTGGAAACAATAATATTTGTCTAGGAACCCGAACATCGAGTGAAAAGGGCCAAGCGAGAAAAAAAATAGAAGGCTAAAGACCCACCAGCAACACATGACAATGCTGCATGCGTTGGGCATTCTGGGGTTAAGGGCAATATGGGCAAGAAGCACGCGCAGCATGGAAAAAAAAAGGCAGGGTCTCTAAAAAAAGATCCCTGGACCGTGTTGGTTTAACAATTGTGGGACAACAACTTCAGCGGAAAGCAAAAATGATAAGACAATAATAATTGCTTGGTTTGGGGTGCCAGCAATAAATTAATTCTTTATAAAAAGTTTTAGAAAGTTTAAACATTCCCGTAGAAACTTAAAAAAAACAAGAAAGTAAGTTAGCTTCGGTGAGCCGAAGTCTGCAAAAATCTCAAAAAAATAAAAAATTAACTAGTGATGCAGTTCGTTTAAAAATTAAAATACAAACACGTCAATATCGCAGTAAATTTAGAAAATTTATGTACTTAGAGTTAATTTAGACTGAAATTATAATACCCTCTGCAAGGGTATAATAAAATATTGAATTTAAACTTTGTTTTGGTAGCATAACTTTTGAAAAGTCTACACAGCTTCCCCAAAATTTCCATTAAAATATGAGTGGAACAACGGCAATCCTTCTGAGGCCATTTGATGACCTTCCTCCCCAAACAAATCGCAGCCAAATGCCAAGAAATCCCCTTAGCACAGCCCGTTTTTTATGCCGGCAGATATTGAAAAGATCCAATGCCAATGCAGCTGCAGCTGCCTGAATTCTGAATTCTGAATCCCGAACAAACAAAAGGAGTGCGGAAAGGGGCTTTTGTGCATTTGTCTCGCGCTGCCTTGATCCCCAGACCCATTACATTAGGGAGCCATCCCCACACATTCACACATCCATACATCTACAAAACAGTAGCCGCCGAACGGGAGCAGAGTTTTCCTCGGCCCGGAAAAACCAGACAAAAACGAGTCGTGTCACGGTGTTTGGGATTTTTCAATGTGTAAAACTACCTGTCGCTGGGCTGTGTGGTTGGGTTTGGGTTTGAGTTCGAGTTTGGGATTGGGATTGGGGTTAGGGGGCTGGGTGTTTTCATTCCAACTGCTGCTGCCACTGAAACTTGCTGCTGGATTTTGGCCTCGCGTTGAGCTGGGCAAAACTATCTTTTAACACGCACAACGCATTATACGAGCACCTTGCATGCACACATCACTGCCACGTTTACGAGGAGTATAGGAGACCAGGATCTGGTCGAAGGAGCGGCAGACTGGCGCGCTCAGTCAACGTATTTCCCGAGTGTTTTCCGACCGCCACCTGAATTTCATTCCTGCAATTTCCCAAACCACCACTCTACGTATACGAGTATATCCCCTCGATTTTCCCCGTTTTCCGACTACTACAGCTTTCTACTTCTTGCCGTTTGCTGGCGACATTTGTTGGCCGCTTTTCCTTTGCTCTGCTGCCTCTGCAGCCAGTGGGTTTTCCCCACTCTTTTCGGGATACCCTGGGACAAGGATTGGTATTCCCATTGGAACAAGGATAAGAATACAAATAAACTTCTTTTCAAAGTGATTGCTGTTTAAATATTTTAAAACACCAACAAATCTTTATTGTTGCAAATGAAATGTTTTTCCAAAAATATGGTTAACAAAAATGTTATCGAAATTAAAGGTGTTTCTTTTTTTGAAATTGTCTATAAAACCGATTTTAGATTTCGAATTTGAAGTAGGTAAATGGTAAAGGTGATATTTTAGCCCTAAAAACTCACTTGCTTACTTGCTTCGACTTTTACTCTTTTTTTGTCACGGTATAGTTCAGTTGGGTTTGGTTTGGGCTTTGCTCGCATTTGCGTTGGCTTTTCTTTTCAGTTTTTATTTCTGCTAAGTGAAATGTGCAGGAGCTCACACAACGAACCGAAAACGGAGAAAACAGAGAGCGAAGTGGAAAAAATATTCCGGCTGCAGTAGCAGCAGTCATCGTTTGCTGGCTGTTCTGTTCCTTAAATAAATTTAGCTTAGTTTTTGAATGGTTTTTGCACTTGAGAGGTTTATATTTTCCACAGCGCCATTCAGTCTGAATGTGTGTGTGTGTGTTGTGTGTGTGTGCGAGAAGAGACATTCGAGAATTAGATTTGCATCAGTTGAGTTGGCGTAAATGCATTTCGGAGGCTATGGGGTAATCTCGGTGTGGCAGCAGCATATTTACGCCTCAACTCGTTCTGCTCAATTGCTGGGGCGTGTGGAAATACTTTCGCACTTTTTGAGTGATTCACCAGACGTGTAACTCTGACACCGTAAAAAAATTATTTATTTTTAGAAACCAATAAGAAATTCATTTAATAAATAAAGCCTTATTTGCTACAAATATTTAAAACACCTGCCTCAAGAGCTCTAACAAAAATGTTTTGGTCTGAATATAAAAATATTTTTCTTTATTTTTTTCTCTGCCCTTTTCAAACTCCCAACATTATTCCTGACTTTGGTTTGCAACGAAACTTTTCGCATACATTCAGCGCATTACCTTGTCTAAGCTCGAAACTTTTCAAAGGGACTTTCGGGCAATCAAACTTTAAGTTGGCTCTTTAACCTGTTCATTACCCTATCAAGACCGGCTTTTCCCTTTTCCCAAACCGAGACCGAGATACATTTGTATGGGGGGATATCTTTCTTTATACGCAACTGATAGCTGCAATGACAAATTGCCTAAGCAGTGGCAGCAGAAACTTCAAGCTCGGTGCCACAAAATGTTACGATTTATGCAAAGAAA